GAGCTTATCAAACAACATCCTGATCTCATTAGAGGAAGATGAATTAACTATGCATACTATGTCTATGGAGCTCATTATTAGAGCTAGATAAGTTGTTTCTGCAGTTGAACATGGAATGAGGGTAGACTTTGGAGAAGCATTTTATATACAATTTTCATAAGCTATCTAGAAGAATCGGAGTTTAAGAAAATAATTTTGAAATACTAGCATAACCTAGTTTTTCAAGCTTGTCAAAATAGAGCTAGATAAGCTGTTTTTGCAATTGATCATGGAATGAGAGTTGACTTTGAACAATCATTGTATATATGATTGTCATAAGCTATCTAGAAGAACCGGAGTTTATGAAAATAATTTCGAAATACTTGCATAGCCTAGTTTTGCAAGCTCTTCAAAATAGGTACATATGCCCATCGGTCATAAGATAATCCTAGATAAACTCTCTAATGCCCTTCATAAGTTCCTTCAAAAACTTGTTTAAGCACATATACTATAAAATAGACTCATATTAGCTCTTTCAAACACCTTATATATAGAGTTTATGAGGTGCTAGCATTATCTCATGAGAGTAAGAAGTATTGAGTATACCACATAAATAATCATACAAGGTTCAATTTAAAGTCTTGGATATTCATCTATAGTCAATGTTTTGAATTTCCGTTGTATATTTTTAAGTTGTGTAATTTCAATTTTTTTGTGAAGGTATTTGGAGAACTAGTGGTTGATTCACAACAATTGCTAATGGTAACAATTGCCACAGCTTTGTTAGAGATTGGCTACAGATTTCAGGTACGTTATATACCTATTTTTATTTTTTTTAAACATTTTCACCTCCTCACCATTTATGAAACTGTTTTAAACATTTTTATTTAATATTATTATGGTTAGTTTAATTAAAGTAATCTCTATCTTTTGCAGGTTTTTTCACTTAAAGATGGACCAGGGCGTAATGTGTGGAGAAATTTAAGAGTTCCCGTCACTATTATTCAAACTTGTCACAAGCCAGACCACACTGTAGATTGGCTAAAGTATGACCAACATTCTAGTTTTTACTTTTAGTTTAAACAGATTTCACGATTTTAAGAACCAAAATGGTCTATAATTGTTGGATTAACATTCTGATTGGATCTGATTAGAATGCATGTCTTTTGCAGCTACGATGGTATAATTGTGAGCTCTCTTGAAGCTAGAGGTGCCTTTTCTTGGTACGATATTTACTTGATTTTCTAAGGTCAAGATTCTGAATGGTTATTGTTACCTGAATACTTCATGAACCCTTGCATTATGTTTGATGTTTTCTACCATGGATTTCCTTGTTCAAGCAACACAAATGATTTTATTTGTTACAGTTTTTTGCAGGAACCTTTCAAGTCTATACCTCTTATATGGATCATTCATGACAATGCTCTTGGTTACCGTTCAATACATTATACCGTTAGTGGGCAGGTTGAACTTTTGAATGATTGGAGAAGAGTTTTCAATCGTTCATCCGTAGTTGTCTTTCCAAACTATGCGTTGCCGGTAAACTGTTGTTTCCTTGATAATTTCTTCTCTATTTTTTATGAATAAATTTGACTCAGGACTGAAATAAGTTTCATATTGGATATTGTCCTTTGAACTTTCGATCTACGGTTTAAACAATATAGTTATAATTATAACAGTAACTAGCATCCGACATCTCAACTAATGTTTATTTTTTTTGGAATTCCGCAGATAATCTACTCCACATTCGATGCTGGAAATTTTTATGTCATTCCTGGTTCTCCTGCTGAAGCATTAGAAGCAGATGCATTTATGGCATTGCAGAAAGATAATTTGCGCATCAGTATGGGTTACGGTCCAGAAGATGTCGTTATCGCAATTGTGGGCAGTCAATTTTTGTACAAAGGCATGTGGTTGGGGCACGCCGTTGTTTTGCAGGCTCTGTCACCACTTTTGGCAGACTTCCCTTTAAGCAAAGATAATTCTAGTGCGCAACTACGAATCATCGTTCATAGTGGAGAATTAACAAATAACTACAGTGTGGCTCTTGAGGTATATTCCTTTTCTTTTCTCTTTTTCCTTTTGAAATTTATGGACAAACGGTTTGTTTATTTTTGTATATTCTGTTTCATCAGACCATGGCACAGAGCTTGAAATATCCAAGAGGTACGATAGAGCATTTAGCTGGAGATTTGAATGCAGATTCTGTTCTTGGCACAGCAGATGTTGTGATATATGGATCCTTGCTTGAAGAGCAGTCTTTTCCAGAGATTTTGATTAAAGCCATGTGCTTTGAGAAACCGATTATCACTCCTGATATTTCTATGATCAGAAAATATGTATGTTTCTGCTCTACTTTACCATAGCCGTCGTGCTATTATGTGGATTTTGGCTTTTACGGCTTTTATAAGAATTTCAATCGTATAATAAATTTTGAAGGAAACTGCTAACCGTTTTGTTCGCATTAACTAGGTCGATGACAGGGTGAACGGCTATCTTTTCCCTAAGAACAATATTAAAGTTCTTAGACAAATCATGTTAGAGGTGATCTTGAAAGGGAAAATATCGTCCCTGGCTCGGAACATTGCCTCAATGGGGAGAAGAACCGCTAAAAACCTTTTAGTTTCCGAAGCAATTGATGGATATGCAATTTTACTTCAGAATATTCTCAAGCTTCCATCAGAGGTTACCCCTCCTAAAGCTATTTCTGAAATACCCCCTCATGTTAAAGAAAAGTGGCAGTGGCATTTGTTTGAAGCAGTTCGGAATTCGGCGTATCAAAATAGGGTACTGAGAAGCAACACGTTTTTAGATAAATACGAAGAACTTTGGAATCATTCTCGAAAAGATAAATCGTCTACTGCTGTTGCTGTTAATGATCCATTTGTATATATCTTATGGGAAGAAGAAAAGTATATTCAGATGGCTATTACCAAAAAAAGATTAGAGGATGAAGAGGTAAAATAAGTTAAAATCCTGTTTTAATTAAGTTGTTTATTTTATCCAAACACGGCCTAAGTCGTGTTAAATTTTAATGCAGTTGAAGGATAGAACAGATCAATCACACGGAACATGGGAGGAAGTATATCGAAATGCAAAGAAAGCTGATAGGTTAAAGAATGAGTTGCATGAAAGAGATGACGGAGAGCTTGAGCGGACTGGACAACCGTTATGCATTTATGAACCATACTTTGGGGAAGGTTCCTGGCCTTTTCTACATAAAAGATCTCTTTATCGCGGAGTTTCTCTGGTAAAGTTTGTGTACCATGTGTGTTCATTTGTATTTTGATAGTTGGTACAAATTGTTAGTACCGGTCAAACAATTACTGTAAGTCTTCAATGTAATCTAGTGATATGGCACTCATGTTAATGCAATGTATTCACAGTCCGGCAAAGGTCGAAGATCAGGGAGAGATGATTTTGATGCATCTTCTCGTCTTCCGTTGCTTAACAATGCTTACTATAGAGATGTACTTGGTGAATTTGGAACCTTCTTTGCAATTGCTAACCGGATTGATCGCTTACACAGAAGTGCTTGGATTGGATTTCAGTCTTGGAGAGCAACAGCAAGGAAGGTATATATGTATATATATCGCTGTCTTCATACAATTTCTGGAAAAGAACTGAAGAAGTTATATAAGCATATTATCTGCGTCATTCTCGTTTTTGTTTGTTGACATTTAGCGTGGGATTTTAACAGGCTTCTTTGTCCAGAGCTGCCGAAAATGCATTATTAGATGCTATCCAATCTAAAAGGTATGGAGATGCACTATATTTCTGGGTGCGTATGGATAAAGATTCGCGAAACCCTTCACAGAAGGACTTTTGGTCTTTTTGCAATTCCATTAATGCAGGAGGTTGCAAGTAAGATTCTTTTAACCCATTATAAGTGTTTTCTCACTAGCATATGGCAAGTTTGAGCATGTGCAAAGGTTGATTTTCTCTACATTTGTGTTTGAACAAAGACCCGCTTTCTCAGACGCGATGAGAAGAATGTATGGGTTAAAGGATGACGTGGATGCTTTGCCACCCATGCCCGTGGATGGTGACGACACTTGGTCTGTCGCGTCGAGTTGGGCTCTACCCACAAGATCCTTTTTAGAGTTTGTGATGTTCTCCAGGTACAATCGGTTTCATTAATGAATGTCTATTATTGGAAATAAGCTCATATCAACTAACAAAAGCGTAAACTGCCATTTGTCCAGAATATTTGTCGATGCATTGGATTCGCAGATGTACGATGAACACCATTCAACCGGACACTGTCCTTTGAGTTTATCAAAGGTGACCCGCCTCTTGAAAAAATTACTTTCCTCTGCTTATTTCTGTGCCACTTTGTCCAAATTCATGAAAAATATATTCAAATCGCAGGATAAGCATTGCTATTCAAGAATCCTTGAGCTTCTCGTAAACGTGTGGGCCTACCACAGTGCACGAAGGATAGTATTTGTAAACTCCGAAAACGGTCTAATGCAAGAGCAACACGCGTTCAACAACCGTAGAGGAAAAATGTGGATCAAATGGTTCTCATACAACACACTCAAGAGCATGGACGAGGACTTAGCCGAGTTATTAGATTCCGAGGATCCTAATAAACACTGGTTGTGGCCATCGACCGGTGAAGTTTTTTGGCAAGGTTTATATGAGAGGGAGCGGAGTTTAAGAAACAAAGAGAAAGAAAAGAGGAAGCAAAAGAGTTTAGAAAAGCTAATTAGAATGCGGAAACGACATCGACAAACAGTAATCGGAAAATATGTTAAGCCGCCACCGGATTCGGAAGAAAGTTCTAACTCATCTTTGGTTGCAGTATAAATGAAGATGTTGATTATGATTTCAATGCAGAAGATCTTGATATAAATTCTTTTCTTCTTTTGTAATTCTTATTTTCTTAACATAATCAAGATTTTCATTCAGTAAGCATGCTGATAAATAGCTAATGTGTAAAGTATCTTAATAATAGTATTTTTTTTCTCCCTGTAATTTTATTCTTTTTTGGGATGGTAGGTTTTCTGTTTTAGGAAATGGTGAGTTGTAATATTGATAGCACTTGACACAAACAGAATGAAGTTATGTTGTGTAATGTATTTTATGTTTGACTTAGAGGGAGTTCATTTACTTTTAGCAATGTTGTATTAAGTTTACAAAAGTTGTTTAAAGCTATTAACATATATCCTTTAATTACAAGAGTTTTCTTATTAATATAACTTATATAAGGCTTATATCATGTTTAGCTTGGGTCTTGTGCTCTCTTTATGATATCGAGTTCGAATCTTGTTAGGCACAAATTGCTTATTTAAAAAAAAAATTCTTAGCACGACTAACCTCAATAATAGTTGGATCTACCAATGGTATTTTACCTTTCGAGATTGAAACTTCCATGTCTTTAATTTATGGATCCTTGGTTTTCTCACTTACGTTGTGTAAAATTATTTCCTTAGATGAAAAAATGGGTAAATTTTGTGTGATGTTGGAAAAGATAATGGATGTCTAGAATGGTGTAATAAATTTTTTTATAGAAGAGTTATATGGCGAATCTGTAATACATTTTAGGAGGGTGTGTGTGAGATATTCAAATTTTCTAAAATATGTATTTTTTTGACCAGGTGAAGGAGATTGTCAATGCCTGGATCGATAAGGTTAGACATTTTAGCAATACAACAACTAACAAAGTTGAAGCTATATGCTATGCTGAATAATTGATTGGAAAACAGTAAATGCGATTTTTGTTAAGATTGGGACGCCACAAACCAAATGCTCAAAAACCAATAAAATGAGATACATACTTCTTTTGGTCGGATCATTACTGTTTAGAACACTTATTTAAAGATAACATCCTTTATTCATAGTTGGTTGGCAACATATCTCGGACGACATTGAATTTTATTTTCCACAAAGTCAAGTGAGTAGATAAAACATGTTCAAAGGGCTCAAAGTGTGGTTGTACATTTAGGAAGACGTAGGTCTTCCATGTGCTTTGTTTACTTTCAAAGAAGACGAAGCTTGATAAATTGATACATATGGATGAAATTTACACTCACCGGAAAAGGATATATATATATATATATATATATATATATATATATATATATATATATATATATATATATATATATATATATATATATATATATGCCCAATTGACCAAGGCCCAATCGAAAGTCCACTCTATATTATCCAACATATAAAAACATTTCATACACTATGAAAAGATACACAATCTTTGATCTCTAGTTTCACTACTCATCTTAAATTTTGAACTGACTTGGGCGTTGAAGTGCAAACTATGCATGTCCACCGCACACTGTCGTGAAGGAGATCGGAACCACCGTTTAAGATAAAAAATTATCCAACTCCCTTTATTTATGGTTCTTTAGTGAGCTAGAGCCTCCATTTCTGGTTCTCGAACAGAACATTTTCGATTCCCGCAATATCCATAATCTCAGGTCCAGTTTCTAATCCACCAATTTGTAGCCTTCTTAGTTTACCGAATCCAAGAGGGCATTCAATTTTTGACTTCAATAGTCTCCACGAATCATATTCTCTCTTCAATTTCATTGTTCACTGCTCCCTCAGATCTCTGAATCGAGAAGCACTTATAAGCGAACATCGAGATCCATCTCAACCGGTGCGGCAAATCATCTTTTCAACTATGATTCTCGTCGTCAAGATTTCCGATTTCCACGTGAAATCGGCAGAATGACAGAAGAAAGGATTTCACATCCAGATATAGGGTTGCGCCGGGGTCCGAAGGAAATTTCCGTGAAAGCTGGGCAGAACCCTCACAATCCGCTGCCCGAGCTGGTTGCACCTGTACTTTCTGCCACAGTTGAGGCGATTACAAGGAGGCATCAGAAGGATACCACAAGTTTGTAGTTAACACCGGACGCCAATCAAGTATTGGGGTGCATATTATGGGTACCACATGATGTTCACTCGAGGTTCCGAGGAAAGATGACCAGCAGTAGAGATCACCACAAAAGCACCTCAGATCTCCTTGAGGTAGATAACCACTTCAAAAAGGAAAGGAAGCCGTGATCTCTTAGTTCGGTAATCGTCGAACGCCTCACCGAAGCATCAGGCAGAACAATTCGATGAGCACATAAATCAGAGGCTGGCCTATGGTTACATTCAACGAAGTAACCGACCACCCAACATAAATTGAAAGACAAGCGCATGGCAAGGCACCTCAGTCAACTTCCATCCCAAGGAAACACTTCAAAGAGCGAAGTGCATCCGGTCCATAGCCTTGATAAAAGACTTACCATCAAAAACTCCAAACATCGTCCGACTACTCCAAATTCACCGTCGGGGTTATTCACCCTGACAATTATGTATTTATTTGTAAAATTTCAATTCATTATTAACATGAGAATATATATATATATATATATATATATATATATATATATATATATATATATATATATATATATATATATATATATATATATATATATATATATATATATATATATATATATATATATATATATATATATATATATATATATATATATATATATATATATATATATATATATATATATATATATATATATATATATATATATATATTCGTTATTTGTTGTGTGTTTCGCTGTCTCTTTCTGCTAGAATGCATGGGACAAAAGAACAAAGACAAAATGCATGAATATGTTTTGGATATGGATTTAATGCACTCCGACACGATTTAAGCGTATTCTAAGCTCATTGTGTATCTGATACAGAATTAACACGTCTACGCAATTCTAATACGACTTAAACACACCACTTGTATGAATGTGTCCAATACTGACTTGACGCATTTCTACGATTCTGATACAACTTAAGCATATTCTACGCCATGTTGCGTATCCAATACATGCTTAATGTAATTCTTTGATTCTGATACGACTCAAACGCACACCTCACTTCTGAGGTCTATTAAAATAACTTATGTGTAGTTGTCACACCCCTCCCCCTCGGATCTAGCCAGTCCAAGGGAGATGGTGGTGGAGCCCGGGGCATCCACCTCAATCTGTGCCAAGCCTTGGGGACAGGGACATAGATCATACCCTTGATTGGAGAACGATCCTCTGTGATGCAGAACACAATACAAAGTACGACTACACAATGTCAACCTCGTCGGCCCTAGACATTGCTTGGTGAAGCCCAAACAAATCGCTAAATGCAATACACACATACACACACTCCACTACGACAAACACTAAAACACCGAGAAAATACAATAACAAAAAATGGTAGCTGACATCATTCAATGCACTGAGTTTCAAATAAGCAAGAAATTCCAGAAGCATTCTCACCATCTTATTGAATAGTGAGAAAAACACAAGAAATGAGGGTTTGAATTGGGTTTTCTAAATAAAGTTTTTATGAAAAATAATTCGCAAAGAAACTTGAAAGAATGTGGCTAAAGAAAGAAAATAAAAGACACATTGGTTTATCCAGGTTCACCTTTAACTAGGCTACTCCTGTCCACCCTCCCCATGTGATTTCGCCTTCAACAAGGACTAAATCCACTAATCTCAACAAATTACAGATGCACGGGATACCCGTCGGTGACTAACAACAACTGTCTAAGAGTCTACCTGACATCTTAGCCCTCTCAAGTCTCAGACTACAGCCTAGTCACTTGAGGAAATAATCAATTCTTAACAGAATTACAATCAATTGTGTTTACAATGTTTGCTTCTAAATAAGCAGATTAACACAACTATGAAGAATAAAGTCTCTAATACAAATAATGAGCAACAACTCTTTGTATTGAGAACTCTAAGATTAACATACAAATAATGAGCAACAACTCTTTGTGTTTAACCTTTAATATCTTAACACAATAACGAATAACAACTCTTGTATTCTTGATATTTCTCTAGAAGAATATTTGTAGATGTATATGAATAGTGATTCTTCTTTTCTCTTGGTATTTCACAATATTTCAGCAATTTGATTCAAGAGTAATAATAGTTGATAATTCATCAATGTTCAAATGCTGATGAAGTCTCTTTATATATACTTGAGAAATAAGACTGTTGGTAGTACAAATATGTCGCTTTCCTTTGCCAGCTACAGTAATGGCATCATTTCGTCGCGAGAGACAACATAGTACAATACGTAAGCAAGTAGTGGAATTTTTTAAACGTATTGATTGTACTATAAAATTAGTTGCTAAGTTTCTTAGACTTTATCTTCTGATGATTTACTTCTTCTTGAAGTACTAAGCTTGGAAGATAACTCTTGATCTTGTCTTTGTCTTATTTTCTTCTTACTGGATTGTTTCTGATCTGAGGAGTGAATAATAATCCAGAAGATTCTTCTTTATTGAATAATCAGAGTATTTCAGATGGTTGAATATTGTCTTCATATATATAAGCAATAATTTATCTGATGAGCAATGTCTTCTTGAGAGTGAAAGCTTTTCCGATCTTGACTTCTTGGTCTTGTCTTTGAATTCTTAATAATCAGCTTTTCTAAGTGCATATTTGATGTCTAATTTCTTAAGCAACAAATTATATCAATACATCTGATTTGTCATTGAATATCTTTATTTTGATCTTTGTATTGATTCCCTTTCTGATGAATATTCAACATTCCTTAGAACTGCTGATGTTTCTATAGAAATGGTCACAATATTTTTTCGGTTGAGTTCAATGGTCTTTCTGATGAATTATATCTTCTAATGAATATTACTTTTGTTGAGTAGATTAACTTGAGAAGATATCATCCTTTTGATCTTGTATTCTAATGGACTTTGAGATGTTGATTGGATGTGAGTCCACAAGATCTTTCTTCATTTCTTCTGATTAAATACTTCTAATGTTGAACGAAAGTACATATTCCATGAGATCTCTGATTCTTCAGAATCTTGATTAAGACTATCTAGAATTCTAATCATGTATCTCCATACTCAATGAAACCATTAAAACTACAATTGTTCTTCATAAAACATATGCTTTTTATAATCAAAACTCGAAGATTTAAACATAGATCCAAATCTTGTTCTTACAATCTCCCCTTTTTTGATGATGACAAAACCATGTATTTTGATGAAACAATATTACATGGTTAAATCATAAATAAAGTAAAGTAAGAGTTTAGAAACCCCCCATGGGATAAACAATCTCCCCCTGAATCATAAACTTATGATCTTTCAGAGCTTAGGAGGAATGCTATCCTTTCTGAGAATTCTGACTCAAAGCAGATGGAAGCAATTTAATAGAGTTTTCTTTATCAGACATTCCTCCTTCATAAGAACCTTATAGTCAGCAGTTAGTTTCATTATCATAACTTGATCTATTAGACCCTTCTTATGTTTGAAGTTCATTATCAATACTCGACCTCTCAGAACATTCTATACCTGAATTTCTTTTTATCAGAGTTTGATCAACCGACCCTTTTAAAATATTAGAAGTCCTCTTATCACAACTTGACTTATTGAACCTTCTAGTCTTTAGAAGTTCTTAAATTACTTACTTTGTACCTGAAAACAAATTTCTAAAAGCTTTGTTAGAAATGTAAGCAATGAGATTTAGAGAAATAGATATGTATCAAAATCATTTTGCTTTCTCCCCCTTTTTGTCATAATCAAAAAAAAATTTAGATTTTTTTTTTAAAAAATATAGATTTTAAGTTTTCTAGATTGCAACAGTAAATATAAACAAAATGAAAAGATTTAAAAAATTGTTTATATAAAGAAAAAATAGGGAGAGACGTAAAGGATTTTAATCTATTCTTAACCAGAATATTGTATTGCTCATATCGTTTCAACAATTTTAGATAAGACTTGAATCAACGATTGTATTTACAAATTTTATCAGTTTGTTGAAACACTAAACTTAATGTTCTCAAACACATATTTCTGGCACCGACATCTTCTAACTCGTAGAAGTATTAGTGAAAGAATTTTAATCAAGGTAAACAATAGAAATTAATCATTCTGGACAGCACACTAAGTTTAAAATTTTTAGAATGAACAAAAATCTATCTTCAGCTAAGGGTTTTGTAAAGGTATCAGCCCATTGATGGTCAATATCTATGAATTTTAAAACGAGAGTCCCTTTATGAACATAGTATCTAATAAAATGATGTTTAATTTCTATGTGTTTAGCTCGGGAGTGTAGAATAGGAATCTTACTCAGGAAGATAGCAATAATGTTGTCACAGAAGATAGGGATGCCATTTTCATAGATATGAAAATTCTCCAGTTGACTTTTCATCTAGAGCATCTGAGTGCTGCAAAGTGATACTGAAATATATTCGACTTCAGTTGTGGATAAAGCTATTGTTGATTGCCTTTTTCTATACCAGGATATGAGGTTATTTCCAAAAAAATGACAGCTTCCAAAAGTGCTTTTACGCTCGATTCTGTCACCAGCATAGTATGCATCACAAAAACTTGATAGCTTGTATTATGATGTTTTCTTATATATCAAGCCAAGGTTAGGAGTTCCATTCAGATGTTTTGGGATTCTCTTAACAACAGTTAAGTGAGTTTCTCTTGGATCTGATTGAAAGCAAGCACATAGACATACACTGAATAAAATATATGGTCGGGAAGCAGTCAGATAAAGAAGAGAGCCTACCATTCCACAATAAAGCTTCTGGAAGACCTTTGAACTTGCGTCCTTTTTCTGCAGGATACATGTAGGATGCATAAGAGTTTTAGCAGGTTTGCACTCTGACATGTTGAATTTCTTCAGAAGTTCTTTTGTATATTTGTTCTGATGAATATAAGTAGCTTTTGGGGTTTGATGAATTTGAATTCTCATAAAATACTTTAGTTCTTGCATTAAGCTCATTTCAAATTCTGTCTGCATTAACTCATAAGATTCTTTGCAAATAGAAGGATTAGTTGAGCTAAAAATTATATCATCTACATAGATTTGACAAATCATAAGGTCATTTCCAGAATTTTTACAGAAGAAAGTAGTGTCCACTTGACTTCTTGAGAAACCATTTTTCACCAAAAAGGAGCTAAGTCTTTCATACCAAGCTCTAGGAGCCTGTTTAAGACCGTACACAGATCTTTTAAGTTTAAAAAACATGTTCTGGTAGTTCAGTATTATCAAAACCAGGAGGTTGGCGTACATATACTTCTTCAGAAATATATCCATTTAGAAATTCACTTTTGACGTCCATTTGATATAGAATTATATTGTTATGAACAACAAAACAA